ACTCTTGTTATCACTTTTCTACATATTTCTAGCAAAACTATTGGATGAGTTTGGCTTAAATTGTATTTCCAAAAACTTTTTTTTAGAATTAGGTATACCTGTTCTAATTTTCACTTGTCTGGAATTTTTCTTTCTTGGATAACTTTGTTTGCAAAATTTATTAACTTCCTAGTTACTTCTGCAAATAATTTTTTGAAAAGTATATAGCCAATGCCTGAGATCCCGGGGCTGTTCTATTTTGTGTTTTGTGTAGAGCTTGAAGCCACTCTTCTTTGTTGATAGGGTTCAAAACTTCTTTATATATAGATGAATTTATACTTTTTATAGACTCATATTCTTCTTTCCACTCTTGGCTTATCTCTTCAAATTTGTGTTTTCGTTTACAGAATTGCTTCTAGAAGTGTGCAGTTACTTGGTGTTTCACTTCTTCCTTATTGTTAACAAGTTTTAGGTTGCAATATTAGAAGCTTTCTTCTACTAAAACTCTATCTAATGTTACCTTGTATGCTTTGTTCAAAAGGCTTTAAAGCATTCATTTTTTATTATTTTTTATCATGTTGAATCTCTGTTTCACCTTTTCTCATATTTCCTTTTCTTTTCTTTTACACTCTTCTTCTTCTGCCTTCTTTCTTAATACTTTGCCCCAGTTTTTAAGCTCTTTTATATTTAACTAGCTCCAATGTTCTGGAAGGTATAGAATTTAAGTTTGATGTATTTGGTTTATATTTTTGATTTGTAGATCTATTTCTTCTCGCTCTGTGCTATCTATCTTTTCAATTGAGTATAAAGAGTATTTTTTTTATAATTGGTATAGGAATTTGACTTCTTTATATATCTCTGATTTAGGAGTTGACAACTTTCCTTGTATCTCCATTTTTTTGATATTGATATGCAGGATAGTTTTAATGCTGCTTTTATAATTATATTACTAATAATGTTCCATTCTATGTTAATGTTTTCAGCAGCATGAAAAGAGGGCTCTTTCTGGTTTAGATCTGATTTGTTTCTTATTAAATGCTCTACAAGCTTGCTATATGAATTCCAGTTTTCTTCTGTAGCTTTGTAATAGAGAAAAACTCTTCTTGTTGGTTTTTTTCTTTTTTCCTTTCTGTATTTACCATAGCTGAGAATTCTCTCTGTTGTGATCTTAGTCCAAATCAGATTGTGATCACTTCCAGTAACCAGATTTATGTCTTGGGTTTGGGTTTCGATGAGTAGATTGCTCATTTTTTTACTCACCCAAATATAATCTATTCTTGATGCAAGCTTATCTCTGTGCTAGGTGTACTGTACTCTCTTTTGTATAGGTTTAGATAATGAAAAGTATCTATTAGTTCTTTATTTTTAAGCCAGTTTAGCAAAGTTTTTCCCAGCCTCTGGTTTGTTCTTTTTTTGTTATTTGTATCTAAGCTTGTATTACTAATTGTATTTAAGTCTCCTGCTACATAAACATATATGTTTATCTTGTTTTTACAAATTTTACATACTATTGTTCTTTGTGTTTCCCTAATAATTTTTTTATCTGCAGGTGGAAAATACACAATCCAGATTTGTATTACTACTTTTCTAAAAAAGAGCTCTATCTTGATAAGATAGGGGTTATATTTGTTTATTATGCCTATATGTTTGGTCCAATATTCATTTATTAAGATACCAACTCCTAAACCTTTTAATTTGTCTGCTTTACTTGTTGATCAAAAACTTTTCTAATTCACCAATATTCATTTCTGCTATATCTATAATGTCTATTTTTTCTTCTTTTCCCAGTTCAGCAAGTGCTATTAACTGCTATTAACTTGTTTTTATCTACTTTCAACCTATTAATATTATGAAAACCTAATTTAAGAGACTCAAAGTTAGTTTTCTTTGGTGCTTCTTTATATTGTTTTAGAGGCTTGGGATTATGTGAGTTATCAATGAGGACCTCTGACTCATCTCGATATTGTGATTCAACTGATGTGCCCTTTAGAAGCAGTAAGCCAATAGTTGCTCAATTGCTCTGAACCACTCTTGCATATCTGCTAATATTTGTTTAACTTCAAATTCTATATTTGATACACTTTTAGTATTTTTTTCTTGTGCCAAGCTCTATGCTATTCGAGCCTGTTGCATATATATTGTGCTTCTCTTTTCTATTTGAGTTAGATGTTGTGTTATTTTCTACAAGTAGAAGGGGCTTTCTTGTGTGTGATCATGATTTTAAGATGTTGTGGGTTTTTGATAGTCAGTTCTGTTATTATCTAGTGATTCAGAATGCTTCCTTGTAGTATTCTTCAAAACTGGCATCTCTTTGATTTTGCTCAAGTCTTTTGTATTATTGATTTTGTTACTAAATTCTAGCTTCTTGCATGGTTCTACTCAGTTTGATATTGCTTTTCTTTTATTGTTATGTGTTGTCTTCATATCAGAGTGATAATGTATACAAGTGAAACTTTTGTTTTCTTGATCCTCAGAGAGTATATCTCATCTTAGCTTTGTGTTAAAATAATATATGTTGGTTCTTTGTGCTGCTAGCTTATCATTTGCATTTTTGAAATATATGTGTGCTCTTCTTGCACGGTTTCCATTCTTGTTTTTTAAAATATGCACTGCTTGTACCTTATACCTCTTCAACTAGTGCAGGAGAAGACTATCCGCTACTTGTGTAGGAATATTTCGTATTGTAACTCTATATCTATTTCTTTTTTCTAGCTCAGCAATATCAAATCTTCCTGAAGTTTTTCTATATATTTTACCCTGGTCTAGTGTAATTGACTACTAGTTTCTGAGCACATTTTTCTGTCTTTCACTCTTAGCAAAAATCTGCATATATGCTGCTTTTGATATGAAATTCAGTTGCTAGCTGAGTATACTTGCTTCTCCAAAATGCTCAAGATATTTCTTGAGTTCTGCTCCACTTATTTCTTTTGGAAGGTCCCATATAGTAAAGAAGTAAAGATGTTTTTCTAATCTGCTTTGAAGAGTGGAAGAGGCTTTTGAAGCTTGTGTAGTGCTATATATATTGTTATATATATAATTATGATTCTCAATATTCACTGTTGGTACCTAACAAGAGTTATAGATATCTTCATACTTTTTAGCTTTTTTACTACTCTTACTAATTAGATGCTTGTCTGTACTTTCTTTGTCTTTTTTAAGAGATTTGAGAACTCTATAATCTAAAGTACCTAGTTCTTCTTTAATCAAAATCTCTTTTTTGATTTCTGGCTTAACTTCTGCTATGTCAGTTATTTTTTCCTGTTCTACATGATTTCTTTTTCAAAAGGGTAATTGTTCATCAATCTGAATATTATTGTTTATACTTTCTACTATAGATTTGGCTATAATTTCTATATTTTGGTTTTTATCAAATGAAATGCAGGATTGTAATATAGATAATTTTGAACAGGATGATTGGTCTTCTTGTTTTATACTAATACTATATATCTGATGTGTACTATCTACTTGCATGTTGTCATTGATAGAAAGCTCAAGTAAGATTTTTTCCTCTTCTTCTAGCTCTTGGTCACTTGTTTTCTTGTGTTGTGCTCAATTATAGTGCCACAGGACATTGCGAATAATTGAAATGAGATAAACCTCATTTGTATCTAAGTATCTCGTAACTTTTTTATTCTTCTCCCATGTGAGAATGCTTTGCTTTTCTTGTATGTTTTTTTTCCCTTTCTGACTTAATAAAGAAGTTTTTGTAGTCTGTTAATTCTAACATATTATGTGTTCGTTTGTTTGTTTTTGGGATTACTACGTGTTTTGTTTGTTGTTTTGTTGTTGGTTTATTGTCTAAATAATATTTTGGGCTTTGTTGTCCTGTTTGGGCTATTTGTTTACATTTAACATATACTTGTTTGTTTGTTTTAATAGTGATCTACAATACAGAGTGTAAGCCAAATCCCCAGAAAAGTTTTAAAAAAAAATTCATTTGAATTTTAGAAACAGAATTTAATGTTTCTTTATGTATTGTTTTTACAATAAGCTTTGAAAACAAGATGTTCTAATGAACTCTATATGAAATTTTTTGCTTGTTTTTTTTCCTTAGAAGTGTTTATGAGGTTGTCTTAGTATAATTATACTCAGTTACTATGTACTTTTTAGCTCCAGTTTTGGATATAGTAATCATTGGAAAGAGTGTATATAATAATAATTCTGCTTGATTTATATTGATGGTAATTTAAAGTATAAGTTTTTAACTTTTTTAAATTTTTATTGTTTTCAAGTTGCATTAGAATATGACAAATATATTTTTGCTTGTATTTGGATTTGAAACACCTGCATCTATAGGCTGCAGGTGTGCAGTGATATTTGGAAGTAAAAATTCAAGTTTAATATTAGCTAATTGTATATTTGAATAATCAGAAATAATATATGTATACTTGCTGGCAAAACTCATGGGATTTGGGATTTGTCCATGGACAAACCCGGACAAATAGGATTGTTCGGCCATGTTTGAAAATCCCATATGGACAAATCCCAAATCCCATCCCAAATCTCAAATCCTAAATCCTATCCCAAATCCCAAATCCCATCCCAAATCCCAAATCCCACCCCAAATCCCAAATCTCATCTCAAATCCCAAATCCCATCCCAAATCCCAAATTCTATTCCAAATTCCAAATTCCAAATCCCATTCCAAATCCCAAATCTATTCCAAATCCCAAATTTTATTCTAATTCTGATTATCATACAACTTTTATAAATTAGATTGATAAAAAATAACAAATTCGTAGATAACAGATAAAAACAAATATGCTGTAATACTCGAGATTGCAATGATATACTGTATCATTATATAAAAATATTGTTTGCTTTATTCTTTTTTCAAAATAAAGTTTAAAGATTTTTTTTTTTTCTTAGCGTTCTTAAACATTAATCCTGCTATATAGTAATTCAGCCTTTTTTTTTTTACACTATTTTAAACCAATTTTACAACAGGCTTTTCTTTTTTTTTTGCATTTTTTTTTAAATTTTTTAAATTTTTTTTCAGTTTTTCTTTTAATTTTGCTTAAATGGAACATGCGGCAAATAATGAATATGTAACAAATAATGAATATATGACAAATAACGAATATGCGGCAAATAATGAATATGTGGCAGACAATAAATATGCGGCAGACAATGAATATGTGACAAATAATGAATATGCAAATAACAATGAAATTTCTAACGATTTAGCCAGTGAAACTGGATCGTCATCTGTACAAACTGAGTCATCAAATAATAGTGGATAGCCCCTAACAGATATATGGGAAGAGTATGATAAAATAGATAATAGAGCGGGAAAACACAAAGGAGCAAGTTGCAGATATTGTGATCAGAAGTGGACTCGAGGAAGAGCTTATTATATGAAATCTCATCTTGCAATAAAGTGTAAGAGGAAAATACCTAGAGAAATCCAGTTTAAAGTACTTCAGGAGCTTCAAAGTGAGCATGTGTTATCCGAATTAGCAACTTCCAAAAAAAGAAAATCAGTATATTCTCAGTTGCCCGTAGATGCCTATTACGATGCAAAAGAAGCCATTGACAAAGCTAAAGAAACAAGAGCTAACCAATCACTAGTTAAATGGATTGTGAGCTCTAGTATTTTATTTTCTGCCTTTGACAATCCTTACTTTGAAGATTATACCAAGGAATTAAATCCCGGTTATAATCCACCTAAGCATGCCGCCTTATCAACATCAATTTTAGATGCAGAAGCAGCAAATATCATAATAAAAATAGAACAGGAGTTGTCTAAAGCCAAGAATCTAACTTTATGCATAGATGGTTGGTGCAGCACATTGAAACATAGTATTTATGCTTTTGTCATAATAACAAGTAAAAGAAAACAATATGTTTATTCTTTACAAGATTTTTCGAAATTTACCCATACTTCAAAGTTTAATGCTGAGAGAATACTAGAGGTATTAGAGAGGATCGGTCCAGAAAAATTTACAGCAGGTTTCTGATGCTGAATCATCAATGATGGCAGCCAAATGACAAGTTGCACAAAAATATCTGTATATCTTACCAATAAGATGCATTGCGCATCATATCCAACTTATCTCTAGCAGCATCTGTAAGTTACCTCATGTGAAGAAAATCTTGTCTAATTGTCAAACAATTATAAGCTTTTTTAGGAATTCCTATTCTGCTGGTGCTGCTCTTAGAGAAGAAATCATATTTTCTCTTACGCTTGGCAGAAATTTGAAGTCACCAACTAAGACTCGGTAGTCAACGGCATGAGATTCCTGTAAATCTATCTTACGTAATGAAGCAAACATTAAATTGGTAAAGTTTTATAGTTCTGTTCTTATATGTAATAATACTGTAATATCCCTGAGCCGTTGGGTATAAGTGGAAATGAAGTTTTTACTTATATACATACAAATTATATATCTGTGATCTTGATATAATAATCAGGGTATTTGTAATAAAAATACCCTGATCCGTTGGGTATTAGTGGAAATAAAGTTTCTGCTTGTACACATATGATCAGAGTATTTTTGCTAAATACCCCGTGATCTTGATATAGTGATCGGGGTATTTAATATAAAATATTATTTCATTTCACTCTTATTTTAATTATTCTTTATTAATTTGTTAATAGGTTTTAGAACAACAACCACAAATTTTTATTCGTGCAAGTGCTGTAAAAAGTCTGATTAATGATCGTCAATTTTGGATTGATGTTGAACAACTTAGAAACATTCTCAGCCCAGTAAAACGAGCTGTAAAAAATGTAGAGTTTCGAACCACCATATTAGCTAACATATTTGTTGAGCTCGTAAAAATGGCAATCGCAATCCAGGAGACTTTTGTCTTATATAATAGCCAATTTCGGCATGATTGCATCGCTATATATAATAAGCGATGGAAAGAATTTGACTTTGAATTGTATCTTTTATCTTTTTTTTTGCACCCAACTTACCGTGGTATTTAGAAGTTAATATATTAGTTCACTTTATTTTATTTTTTTTATTTTTTTATTTTTTTATAATAGGCGATTTTCTTGAAGTTGGAATATATAAAAATTATGTTTTTAGAAAGGCAATGGAAATATGGAAGAAAATAGGTGGAGGCGACATAAGGCCATACAAATTTAATTACTTGGTTTTCATAATATGAAATTTTAAAAATAGACCCGGCCGGCCGGCTTTTTTTTTTAAATTTCATATATAAAATTTTATAAAATTTATATAAAAAATTTTTTTAAAACCCACCCGGTTATTATAACATATAAAAAATTTTTTTTAGAAGTTTTCAAATTTTGACCCTGCCGGGTTATGAAAACCAATTAATTAATTTTGCATGGCCTTATTTAAAATTTTATTTTATATTGATTTAGTTTATAATCTAGATAGTGCCCGTGCACTTTGCGCCCTTATAACAAAATTGAGCCTGCAATAAAAATTAGAGTTGGGTTAAATTAGGGTTTAGAGTTAGAGTATGGTAAAATTGCAAGAGGAACATTTTTGCTTAATTACACAACAGGGATTTACCCTAGTGAAATTTGAGATATTGACGATTTTATAATAGGGGCAAAGTGCATGGGGGCACTGCCTAGTCCTGTCTTATAAGTTTTATTTATTAATTAAACTATTTATTTATTTAAAATTTTCAAATACTTTTATTTAAGTATTAAAACTTAATTTAATAAGTTTTAAATATATTTTGTACATATAAAAGAAAGCGAGAGATTAAACTTTTAACTATTTGAGGAATTTGGGTCAAAATCTCGAAAAACGGATTCCTGAAAGAACATAATACCGACAAAGTTAGCCGGCACTAGCTATAATGCTGGCCAATTTAGTCGGTGCTATGTTCTTTCGATAATCTGTTGTTCGGGATTTTGACCCAAAATCCTATTTGAGTATATAAAAACATTAAATTTGTTCTCATGAAAACATAAATTTCACAACAGATTTCCTAAAATGCATGGGATAGTTATTTGAATTAGACATATGTTAATTTCAATTGGACTACGTACAATTACTCCAATCGACAAAAAATACGTAGCTACTTTCAAACAATTGCTTTGACTGTCACGTGGGTCTAATCTTAAATATTTATTGGTCAAAATTACTGAGGAAAACAAATTGGTGCGTGTGAAAATACCAAAGTTAAAATTTAGCTCCTAACCCTAAAAAATTTATGATCGGCATTTTAATAAATGTTATTACTAAAATTATCATCATAATTTCACAGAAATTATCAAAACGCCGATCATCAATTTTTTAGGGGGCTAAATTTTAACTTTCAGCTTTTTACACTCAAATACATACGTACGTACGTACTTGCAACAATAAGTAGGCTTAGATACTTTTTCTCTCAATACATATAATACATACAATACATACAACACAAAAGCAATTCATGGCATCAAAAATATTTGTGGGTGATATGCCCGAATTAATGGAAATTATTCTTAAAAATTTAAGTAATGAATTTGAATCCTTATACTCGTGCGCACTTGTGAGCCGATATTGGTGCAAAATGTCAATTCCTATTCTTTGGCAAGATCCATTTTCATACGAAAAAAGTTCATCATTCATTTTCCAATACTTCTCATTTCTTGATGAAAACGAAAAGATCATTTTAAAATTATGTGGGATAAATCCGAAAATTTCCAAAACACTATTCGATTATGCAAAATTTCTAAAGGTTCTTGATTTATACCGTTTAGAAAGTAAAGTCGAAAATTGGATTAATCTTGAGCAAGTTAATTCAAATTCAAATGATGATAAATTATCAATGAATCGCATAATTAATTTATTATTAAAATTGTTTATTCAAAGTGGGGCCACTTTGCACAAATTAGATTTATATTGTCTTAATTATGAAATTAATTCAGAGATTTTTAACTCATTAAAACAAAATAAGCAATTTTTTTCAAGACTTCAGGATTTCTTTTTGGGAAACGTATCATGGTCTAACTTTGAAAATGTTACTAAACTATTAAGAATCTTGGTAAAAAATACTACGAAAATTAGTGATTTGAAACTTGGCAGATTTTATTTTGGTTATAGACCACAATTATTTCATGCTCTAATAAGCATTATTAAGTCACAAGCGCAACTTAGGAAATTTATCTTTTTTAGTGATAGAGAAATTACTGAATTCTATGGCATCATTTCAGCTTTAGAGAGTCAAGCAAATTCATTACAAGAAGTTATAATAGAAAACTGCTGGCATAGTGAGGAGTTCAAGATATTAAAAAATTGTAAAAAATTAGAAATTCTTTGTATCAAGTATTGTGATCCGGAACTGTTGAAAATTTTACATTCTAAACTCAGCACTTTGGAAATAGTTGGTTTACGGATGGTTGCATCGACAATAGTACAAATTTTGGAAAAGTCTGGCTTATTACTACAACGATTTAGACTCAAGTTTTATGCGATTTCGGATGAAAGATTATTACTAGAAACAATTAAGTCTTTCTGTCCAAACATTACATATCTCAACATTTCGATAGTTTCGTTTTCCACGCAACTCATAGATCTTATTGGTAATTTGCAAAAGCTTCAATTTCTCACCTTATGGTGCGTTGGTTATCACATACCAGATAAAGTACTAAGAATACGAGTTAAGCAGTTTGCAGAAATATTGCCATTAACATTGCAATATCTTGACTTAAGAAATGATTGGATAAATTCATATATGGACATTTTACTTAATAATTGCAATGCACCTTTAAAAAAACTGTTAATTGATCACCTTGCTAATGATAAACGTACTAAAGCGCTAATTGATTTCTGCATACGAAAAAGAACTTTGAATTATGTGGGTTTGGTGACATATATGTATTTAGATGATGATGTTAGAAAAGAAGTAGAAGCGTATGTTGCATTAGTACTATGTAAACGTATTGTTGTTAATTGCTAATTTCTAATAAATTTCTTTTATTCGTAAACCAGAAAAAATGGTGGGATTGAGGCAAAGGATTTGTTAACCGGAATAATAAACTTATTGGCTATTTTCCACTATTGTAATTTTTTCTTTGATGTAAATAAACTACATACCTCATTTATGTTAATTATAAGAGCGTTTTATCGGTCGGTAAAATATTTTCCACAAATTTAAAATTAACACATTTCAACCTATTGATCAAGTCGCTTAAGAACGTCCTTAGTCGGTCGATTAAAGAGTCACTTATTTTTAAAAGTATGCTTTTAGACAGACGTATAATTATAAAAGTTGGATTATACTTATATATTATCTTATGATTACTTTATGTTCTTATAGTTTATGCATCAAAATATTCAAGTCTCCTATTTATTTCTTCCGAATTGTTCGCTTAAAACTTCATTTGGGTACTATATTGGGAACAAATATGTTTATGATTTTTAAATATAATTATACTGTTTTTTTAATAGATACCCTTTATTCCCCAATAAATTCGATAATTTATTATGTTTAAGGATATGGGTCGGTTTTATTATATTTTTGATTTTTGATCTTGACGGTTTTTATAATTTGATCGGCTTAACTATTATACCTTCTTGTAGTGAGTTTTTTTGGCTCTCTAAAGCTAAAATGATGCCGTAGAATTCTCTGTGGGTTATCTATACACTTAAATGAAACAGCCTAAGTTGCACTTGTGATTTAATAATGTATATCCAGATAATTATCATTCCCTGCTTTAAAAACGTTTGCTATATCACTAGTCATCATACGATGGATGTATCATTTGCATTAAATTACTAATGATTTGCCAATTAATTAGTTGCTGTCATGTTATATTATCATTCAATTTAAATATAAGTTTATAGTTGAGCAAAAAAAACATACTCAAAATAAGAATTTCAAGTTAATGTACTTTTATTATCAGTTTTATTAACTGGAAGTCACTGGAAAAAAAAATTAATAATGCCACTGGAGCTATTACTATTGTAAATTCTCATTGGAATATTAAAAATTCCCACCGGAAACAAATTAAACAACTTTGTTTACTATCAAATCATCTGGGCTGCTGTCAATCGAAATCAGGCAGATTGACATTTTTAAAAAAAAATCTATACAGATCATATCTCGATGAATTTTGGGCTAGTTTGATGATTTAATATTCAAAAGTAAGATTAAGTTCTAGGCTTTCTTTTGAACATTGAATCATAAAATAGAGCTGTGAAATTAGGTATAAATTTTTTTTTTATAATGTCAATCTGCCTGATTTCTATTGACAGCAGCCAATCTCATTAATTAAAGTTCATAAATGCTGCATAAGTATATAAATGTTTATTGTCGTTAATTTGCAAATAGACAAGAAAGAATATTTAATTAAGTATTGAAATAAATTAAGCTCTTAAACTTTTACCATCACTTGATGTTCTTATTTCACATCATCGAATGAGCATGCGAATTGCTAATTTCTGATTTTGTGATTTCTTTTTTTAATTTGAAAGAGTTTAATAGAAAGTAATGAAAAATAATACCATTATTCATTATTATACATATAGATATGTGGCAATTACATAACAATAAGTGCAAATGTATGTGAATAGTAACGCAATGGGCGACATTTAGATAACTGTTTGAATTAAGCTTACATTGGAATAAAATTTGAAATTATACAGTTTTAAAGTTTGGCTTTAAGACTTTTCTTTTGCATTTAAATTTATTTTCTTTCTTTTTTCTTGCTAATGAAGTGTTTGTTATATAATAAAATATTTATCATCGACATTTAGCATTAAGATAAACCATCCATTTTTTCACTACCGTACGTACTTATCATTCTTTTATCATTTCTACAGATTTTTGGTAATAAATGTATGCTTTATACTCATCTTTTTCAATCCCAATTCCATAAAGATAACAATTTCCAACTTCTCTCATTCCATAAATATATCCTATATCTGCAGATTTTTGATAATAAATGAATGCTTTATGTTCATCCTTTTCAACTCCAATTCCATACCGATAACAATATCCCACCTTATATACTCCTCTAGCGTATCCCATTTCTGCAGATTTTTGATAATATGTGTATGCCTTAAAATTATCTTCTTCAACCCCAATTCCAATTCGATAACAATGTCCAACCTGATATATCCCTTTTGCGTATCCCATTTCTGCAGA